TCTCAACCCTTTCCCATCTACTTCTCCAAGCAGCTACTACAATCTGTCAACAAAGACACCAAATACGTGTCATAGAGTTCAGAGATTTTCAAGATCAAATCCTAGATATGACTCAGGGTTGTTAAGAAACTGATCCAAATGCTTCCCAGATGCTTTATGACAGAACCAGTGCAGGGATCCAGGCCTCCTGACTCTCACTCAAATATCACATGATCTCACTCATTTATGGAATATAATTAACAACATAAACTGATGAACAAAAACAGATCCAGAGACAGAGAAGCATCGATCAGACTGTCAAACCTTAGAGGGAAGGTAGGGGAGGGTGGGGGTAAGGGGAAGAGATCAACCAAAGGACGTGTATGCATGCATATAAGCCTAACCAATGGACACAGACAACAGGGGGGAGAGGGCATGAGTTGGGGAGGAGCAATGGGGCAATAAGGACTCATATGTTAATACCTTAATCAATAAAGAAAAAAATCAACAAGATAGTTTCCTCTCTAACTAAAGTACATGGTATGCTAAACTTTTACATATGTAATAACAAAGTCATCAGATGAAGCAATAGACTACATGTAACCCCCCCCCAAAAAAAAATGGGCAGGGTATCTGAACAGACATTTTTCCAAAGAAGACACACATCTTGCTAACAGGGATATAAAAAGTGCTCACCATCACTAACCATCAGGGAAAGGCAAATCAAAACCACAACGAGAAAGGCAAATCAAAACTACAACGAGATATCACCTCATACCTGTTAGAATGGTCATTATCAAAAAGACAAGTGTTGGTAAGGATGTTGGAAAAAGGGAACCCTTGCGCACTGTTGGTGGGAATCTAATTAAGTAGTCATTTACTTAGCCATAAGTGAATCACTCACAGAGAAAAAAACCTCAGTTACTCTTTTTTGCAATGCTTTCTACTAGTACAACATGAATATAACCTTGTTTTGCCTTAATTTAAAACTGGCACTACCAAATTTTTAAAGTATATCATGATTTCTTTCTGGCTTTGCCTCCATGTAAACAGAAAGATCGATTCTACACTGACATGTCCTATAATTGCTGCAGAGCTTATAATATTTACATAATAAATTGGAGAGGAAAAAAATAGCTCAGTTCAATAGGACCTGAGAATAAATATGCATAATTACATTTGTCCTGATTCTGTCATCTTATAAATATATAATTGATATTCATGATCTTGCCCATAAGCCATAAAAGATCAATTTCCAAAATTAATAGAATGTTCATTCTCCATAAAATCTTAGAGCTTCATCGTAGCTGATTCACTTGGCTTTTTATAATATGTAAATTAAGTTCAGAGTTTACTATAGTCCTTGACAGCGATAGATGACAGTCATAGGCAACCAATGATAGATGAGAACGGTTGCCATAAAGTGACCATGTTATTTAGGAGAGTAAAGTACAGACATAATTACTATGTCCTCTAAACTGGAAAGCACCCAAGAACCTCTTTGGTAGATGCCTAAAGGGGTGAAAATTAATCCATTGGTCAGCATATTCATTTCCCAAGGCTTCCATAAAAAATCCCAAACATGGGGTGCCTTAAACAACAGTAACACGTATATTGGCTCATAGTACTGGAGGCTAGATGTCTAAGATCAAGTGTTGACATCCCAAACTAGATTTACTATCATCCATCTGAAATTCTCTTCTTTGTTTGGCTCTTGTTTATACTGTTACTATCACCCAAACAATGTTTCAGGGTTTTCATTGTTTTTAAAGTCTTTCTCCCCATCTCCATCTAGTTATGTCCATTTCAACTATAGAGTTTTCACACCATCCCCACCTTCTGACCCTGGCCTTGGCCCTCCCGTTATCTCTGGGGTCTTGACAACTCTAAATAGCCCTCAGTTAACCCCACCCCATTTCCAATTTCTTCCTACATTAATATAAGAGATGTCAAAAATACCACTTCTGAAATATTTCAGGAACAGATAAATGCCTTTGGGGGCAAATCATAGAATCAGTTTCTTGATGGAGGAATTTTTATTTCCTACTCTTTTCCAGATACTCAGATGCATCATCTTGCATATCACTCAGTGACAGCTAAGTTAATTAACAGCTAAGTAAATCAAGCACATATCATATGCCACGCACTGCACCAACAACTTTACCTTAACTTACCCTGACAAATGAAAAGAGTAAGTACTTTATTGTTCTCATTTTATAAAAGAAATTGAGACCCATGAAGAAACTATGGCATTAAGAAATCGAGTCATTTACTCAGTATCTGACACTGAATAAATGGCAACTAGAATTTGAACCAGTAAGTTTCCAGGATATTTTCTTTTAACCATTAACATACACAAGTCCATAGCAATCATGAAAGGTTATTATTACCAACACCATTTCAAAAAACAAGGGACAATACCACAGCCATAATTCAGTCCAAGTCTGTCTAGGAAACTCTTAGTTGCCCTAGTAGTAAAAAATGTCAACCATATGTATTTTGCCAGCAGTAAATCTTTGGAAGGCAGGAAGGAACTGATGAAGTGGTTCCCTTATGTTTGGGTGGTTACTTACAAAAGCCATTTATATCACTTCCCAGACTGATTTACATGGAATCCATCACCATTTGTTCCACCTCTTAAAAAGAAGAAAAAAAAAGTGTTCATTCATCTACATCACCTCTCATTAGAAAACACTTTCTCCAGTGTAATTATTATTTTATTAAACATTCTATTGAATATTGACAATTTATGCAATACTTATTGAAAAATATAGAGGGATTATTCAGTCCTTTTTGAAGATATCATAGCATCCTTAAAACTAGACAGAGTACAACAAACAAAACACAGATACTTTGTCACAAGAAACAAAATCTTCTTCAGCAGAATTCTCCCACCAACCCAATCCCCCGTTTTTCCACATTTTCCACTAATTTCAGGAGTTTTCTTCACATGGTTTGGCTCCAAGAAGCAGCAGCCACAGACACAGATTGAGTCTATGTTTTGACATGAACAGACCAGATCAGCCTCTTGATGGTATTCTTTTATGCTCCAAAGAATCTGTGGTATCTGCAATGCAGGTATTTGTTCTTACATTTACACACAAACTGCAGCAATGGAACTGCATGGGTTGGAAGAGACGACCGTTAGTGACAAAACAGGTTTCTGTGGGTTGTTTGGGGCCAAGAGTACTGGACAGAGGACTGGGTGCAGGAGGATCATCAGCAGCTAATGCCAAGGCCGCCTGGGCACAGTTGCAAGTAAACAATAGGGAATCACTGGCCAACTGAGGACACCTTCAATGGGAAGCTTGGGGTTGGGAGGTGGGGGAGGAAGGGAGAAAATCATTCAAAAACTTTTCTGAGTTATGAGAAATACCTTTAACAATCATATCATGAGTTCTAATACGACTTATCTGTCTGGGGTCAACTACTTTGAGAATTACCTGCTCTTTTAGGCCCCTGAACTTTTTCACTAGTTACTGGGAGGTCGTTAGGGAAAGTGAGTGCTACACATTTGAAATCCTGATTAGCTAATTCTCCAGCAGTTCATTTCCATAGAAACAGCCTGCAGAGGACTGATTCATTAAAAAATGTTCCAGGTTCACTCTCCTGCATGTTCAAGTCCTACAAACATGGGCGTTAATATTATCATTATTCCTATGACTCTTTTTCAAGCTTTAAAGTTTGTTTTTGAAATATTGATTTTTCCCTAAAATGTGGAATCTTTTATACACACACAAAACATGACTTGGTTTCTGGAAGTTTATTTAACAGCCTTGGGGCAACTAGTTAACTTGGATAACTTTAAATGCAATTAGTACTTTCCAGCGATCAATGTCAGATTGTCCTATCTCATTCTTTTGGACACTGGGCTGGGTATTTTGTAATGCCCCAACATAACTTCAAAACAGCTTTTTCCAAGTTGTCTGAAGCCTCTTTTTCAAAAAATTAGAGTACCCAACACAGAAGATATACCTGAAGATTACTGGTTTTTAAATGCCTCCCCAGAATTTATATTTTAAATTATTTTCTCCTACAAAATAGCCACCTTTTGATAATTATACATTCATCCAAAATATGGTCTCACGAATTGAGCTCACCAACTGTCATTGTACCAGACACTTGTGCAATGCTAAGTATGAGAATAGGTCTTAATAAATATGTCATGATTGAATGGGTCCATAACCAAGTGAGTGAGTGAGCGATAGAAGAACATGAATTTAAAGCCTCCCCTTTGAGGACTCCCTTCTAAGTCAACATCACTTTCATTTTAATATCTACACTAAAAGCAAAGCTTTGTGGTTTGGGGGGTAAATTGGATAAGTGAGAATGGTCAAAAATCACCGAGAACAAGTCTTGGGAATAAGAGATACAACTGAGTGGGATAAGGGCACTTAGGGAAACACAAGGCATAATCCAAATATTACAAGTCTCACTTTCTGTAAGTGGGCTCTGAAGGCAATTCCAGAAATGATTTGTGCATCAGCGATAAATCTGGATTGGGCACATCAACCCCAGAGTGACTGCTCTGAAAGGCTGTGCTCAATACAGAAACACTGGCATGCTAGTTTTCATGCTACTTTCTCTAACAGGGCTTATATATTTATGGTCGATATTTATATACTGTTCTTTAAATGTGACTGACGGGAAAGGTCGGGTAGCTTTATGCTAATCTTAAATCCATAAAATTTTATGTTTCCCATCTGCAAAATGAAGGGTCAAACTAGGTAATCTCTCTAAGCTTTTCCAGTGCTAACATTCAATAACTCTATAAATAAATAGTTTAAACTTTGTTCACACATCTTCAACCACTCTTACATTTCAGAGGCTTTATATAGGGAGAACTGTTGCTTTAAACAGCCACAAGTTCCCAAGGGAAATCATGCTGTAGACCATGAGGTAAAAATTGCTAGAGCAAGGTAAATGGAATGCATACATATCACACACACACACACACACACACACACACACACACACACATCTCTGTCCCATTAGCAGTAAACTCCAAACTGGGACAACTATAGAAGTCATCAGAATAGTTTACATTCATATAAAATCAGTGACATAATTTATACAGAGCAAAACTTTAAATGCTGTGTCAACTTTTCACTAAGTAGTTACAACTTCAAAATCGGAGGAAGTACTTTCAAATGAAAGTATGACAGCGGGCTTGAGAAAGTCCTGCTTCCGATTGTGTCCAAAGTATCTTATTCTGTAGATCCCAGGCTTGGCAGTATCTGGAATATGCCATTGTATCGTTGCATTGCTATGACCCAATAATCCCTTGTGCCAATAGAAACTGTTGGTAGGAAACAAACAAACAAATCCAATTTTATTCTTTAAAAAGTGTGAGGTTAGAAAAACACATGATTACTCATTAAATGAATATGAACAAGGCACTAATCTAGATATTCAGAGTATAGCAATGAACAGAACAGAGATAAATACTTCCTTCCTAGAGAAGGACCTGTAGGGAACAGCCATTTGTAGAAATACCTTTGCTTGTTCCATCTTCTAATGTCCTAAACTCTAGCCATCCCAGGAAGGCTTATCTGATATGCAGAACACGGATGTCTCCTGCTTTAGAACTGCTATAGCACCCTTTCCCCCTTGACATCCTCTGCGTTAACTGACACTTCTAATGGCATATGTGCCGGACTCTATTCTGAGGACATGGTAGTGAGCAAGACAGACATGGTCCAAAGTTTCTGTTTTTCTCAATGATAGAAGAAAGGCAATAAGTAAACCACAAATAACCTTAAAACTGATATGTGAAATCAGTAAGACAGGTATCTCTAAGGAGGTATCATTTAAACCGAGCCCGCACATGCTTAAAGGAAGAGGGGACAGAGAGTGCAAAGTGTCCGAAGCAGGAACAAACTTGGTACAACCAAGGAACAGGACGCAGGTCAGTGGAATTAGGACAGAGTAAACTGTGGAGGTGTGGTTAAGATGACAGAAACAGATGGAGTCAAATCACTGGTTCTTATAGACCAGGACATGGGGTTCAGATCCTCTTCTAGATACAGTGAGACAGGATGCGCTAATTGACTGATATCCTCAGTTATGTAGAGAGTAAATCCCATGGACACAAGGGCCACATGGGCTCATCATTCTGTTTCTCAGTAATAAGCTTGGTGCTCTTGAACTGCTGCTGATGAACAAAGCAGAGAGCTAGACATCATCTCAGTGTGGACTGCTATTCTGATTTTGAGCTTTTGAAAATAAATCAGCCTTTTATTTTACTATCTGTATAACCTTACGTTAACAATAAATATGTATTTACTCCTTGTTTTTAAGCCACCTATACCCTAGAGTCCTAAAGATCAGAGGAAAAAGGTACGTCCATATTTAGGTATGGCTATCAAATCTCTATTTTCAGTTACCCATGTGAACCAAACCTACATGCAAATAGTCACTTAGTTTAAGGTGATCTGAATTAGAAACAAATTGCCAAAAATGTCCCCCACTTCCATGCCACTGTCCTGTGGTGAAATTTGTAAGATTGGGAACAGAAACATTTTCTTATTTTAGACACGTTTTTAATCTTCAAAATATCTAGTCAGCTCAGGCATTTGGTAACAAAAGGCACAGCAATGTGTCTTTTGAAGACCCTGAGCGTACTTCTTTCTGAGGTAAACACTCAGCTCCTTTGTTTTGGCAATTCAAATGAAGAATCCTGGACCATATATAAACACACAATATTTGTTGGGTATGGACTCATTCTTTTTCCAGAAGGAATGCCAGGCTCTACAGAGCTCTCTCATCACCTTCACCCAGCACCCCTTTCAACCAATTTGCAAGAAGGCTAGACAGCTTTTAGGACTAATGTCTTTGACTATGGAAAAAAAATTAACAGATGTTTATGAGAATGGAGGCCATAACCTCATTAGCACCTAATCTTCCAGAGGCACACACCACCATTTTGTAGAAAAACAGAATCGAAATGAGGTCTAATAAATCAACTAAATATGGCCGGACAGCTCCTTGGGAATTTGCTATCATTAATATCATGTATTGAGCCAGTCTTCCCATTTGTCTTCCCTACATTACTAACCAACTATTTTCAAGACCTGAAAGACAAAATATTCAATAGACATGCTCACCGAGTCTCCCAGGAGGCATCATTATGTACCACCTGCCATGTCGCTGAAGCGTCCTCATATTTCTCCACAGTGAGGAAAGTCTGATGGGTCTGAAATGCAATTAACATAACTGATCAGACACTGAACAGTCACAGAAGGACCCTGTCTGTGAATACTCCCCTTGTTGACTTGGTGCTAACCTAGCAATACCTTGAGTAAAAAATGTATTAGAATTTCACCCAAATTCTTATTGTGTTCCTCTTAACATTCGATGCAATATCTGTAGAATGTTAATTTATCCAGTCTATTAAAAAACCATGACTTTTTAAAGAAATTTGAATAAAGCATAATTTCAGAGCTGATAGCAAATTTTGGTAATGAGGGCAGAGAAGAGACAGAATAAAACTTGAGATTTCAAAAAGGCATAAATCAAACCTTTTCATGACAGGTTAATTGACCCATATTCCAAGAGCTTCCCTAGTCACCTCAAGATTTAGGAGGGGAAAAGGGTCTCCTCATCTTTCCAACTCCAGGTATATGAATTATTAGTAAATATGCCTTCCCAAGTGAAAGAATTGAAAGAATGCATAAATCCTCTCTATCCTGGGTGCTAAAAGAAATTCCTGTATTTTATCACGGATTTCTAGAAATCTCATCATAAGCAAATTTTATTTTCCCATTGGAAAATGGCTATAATAATTTCTTTCAGACCAAGAATTCGGCTTCAGATAAAGCACAGATTTGAATAATATAACAAATTAAATGCTATAAAGGCCATAAATCTCCATTTTGCCACCAAAAAAAAATCTTATATTGTTGTCCTTAAGGGCATGACTTGTATCTACTCCACCTTTCTCCATCACAGCCCATGATACCTGCCATTTACAGGTATTTGAATCAACTTCTGCTGAATGGATCACTTACTTACTGCTGGGCCAGGGGATTAGTTCAAATTATTTCCTAGTTAATCAACTGATGGACTATATTCAATAGAGAAGTTTTTATAACCATGGTTATGTGTGAAGAGAGCTTCTTTTGCCAATTAGAGCAGAGGGACATGGGGGGGGGGGCGCAGTGCTTTAGATGGGGTAGAAAATAGAGTGGGCTCTAGTTCCTAAGTCTAGAGTACAAATCAGAGAACAAGTCTTGGCCACGGCATATGTGAATTATATGACTATCCTTTCCCCGCCTCCTAACCTTAATCTCTTCCAGTTACATAATTAGTTAATATTTAATAAAAGTTACTTAATCTCTCTAGGCTTCAGTAAAATAGGGACAATAAAATATAATTCATTGAATAGTAGCAAGGATTAAATTAGATTCACATGATGATGTACCTAAAACACTTAGCCTAGTACATGCAAATAGTAAGCTTTCAATAAATAGTGGTGAGGATATGATGATTATTACTAATAAAGCGTACTGGAAACTGTTTTACGCTGAGTCCCAGAGCCTTCTTAGGAAATAATTTTATTCTCACTCCAGTGCTTTAAGCATTCTGCTCTTCTGCTTCTCCATGGCGATAATGATGAGAACATTTCTCCACCCTAAGGATATCAAGTGATAGCTACTCCTGCAGTTTTACTACAACACTTTGCCCTCCTCAGAAAAATAATGTTATGAACATGTAAATCTCTGGCACAGATTGAATGCCTAGAGAAATTATTTCAAACAGGTATATGTTAATTACCGAAGCAGAACATTTTCCCCAATGCCCTTTAGATAATGCCATATTGCCACAATTGTTATCAAAGCAATAATAATATTTTAATGAACAGAAGTGGGAAGGCTCATTTGGAAGAAAGGTATTTGGGTTTCTAAGTGACAATGGGCCCTGGGAAGAATGGCTTATCAATAGAGTGTCTGACCTTGAAATCACTTTCATATACCCATTCCCTTTTTTCTCTATATTTATTTATTCTTTGAATTTTTATAACTAGAAGGTGTCTGGTTATTGCTTGTGTACTTACAAAAACACTCGGAGTTGCAGAGAAAATTACTTCATTTTATTAATAGACATATAACATATATACACTTTGTCATATATATGTATGATAAAACAAAAAGGAATGAAATGATATGTAACCTACTATTAACAGAGATTACTTCTAAAAAGGTTTATGAATAGAGGGGTCCTTTCACATTCTATCTTAAGCACTTTTATACTATCTGTTTTCACATTAGGGATGTGTCACTTTTTAAGATTAATAAATAACTATCCTATTATAGTCAGTAGCAAAGAATAGGAAATGGACAATGCAAGATAAAGTAAAGCACATGGATCAGGGCTCCAAGCCAGGAGAGTGTCCCCACTCAGAGATCCATGATTATCCGTAACAGTAGAGGCAGGACCAGAGGCAGCAGAGTAGGAGGGGAGGAGCCAGAGGGAGTAGGAGGGAGCCAAAGAAACACTGCACTCTTGGGCCTTTGATTATTCTACCAAATGTAGTTGAATTTTTAGATTGGAATACATAAATGAGATTTTATTTAAATTTGCATCTTCTCAGGAGACAATGTCATTCTCATTGTGCTATATTTGGTCCTAAGTAGAGCCAGCGAAATGTTTTCTATATGTTTATTTTCCAGATTCAATTCCACATTACCTGTTCCCACTAAAACTTCCCCCACACCTGCAAAATCCTACTGTTGTTAACCAAAGGGATAGTCAAGTGTATGAAAGGCTAAATAGTGAATTTAAATTTATAAAAAGAATCATTGATGCTTACCCGATTTTCTGCTGAATTCTTTGGGTTAGCACCTACAAATGTAACTTCAGCAACTTCTCCCTGAAAATAAAAATGTATTTTATGAGCTCTAATAAAAGTATTTTTTTATTTTTTAAATATTTTTATTGATTTCATAGAGGAAGAGGGGAGAGAGAGAGAGAGAGAGAGAGAGAGAGAGAGAGAGAGAGAGAGAATGATGATGATGAGTGAGAATCATTGATTGGTGCCTCCTGCACACCTCACACTGAGGACTGAGCCCACAACCCGGGCATGTGCCCTGACTGGTAATCGAACTGTGACCTCCTGGTTCATAGGTCGAGAAATATTTGGTCTCTGCCCCATTTCCTGGCACACAGCTCCTAAAACCTTTGGAATCTCTCAAGTGATGATCTGTTTGTATGCTAATGAGATGACTTGTGATGAAGGGCTTCTAACTAATCTCAGCATGAAGGCTAGTTGCCAGGGGAATCAACCCATGTGGTCAGAGGATTGCAACTTTCCACTTCAACCCACTGAACTCTAGAGAGGGGAAAGGGGCTGGAGGTGAGTGAATGACTCATGGCCTAGTATTTAATCAACTAATCCTCCATAAAAAATCTCTAAAGCACAGGGTTCAGAGTTTCCAGGTTGGTGAATGCATGAAGGTGCTAAAGAGTGGCATGCTGAAGAGGACTTGAAAGCTTTGTGTTCCTTCCCCCATATCTTTCCCTATGTATCTCTTCCATCTGGCTGTCCCTGAATTTCATCCTTTTATAATGAACTGGTAATCTAGTAAGTAAGCTGTTTTCCTAAGTTCTGTGAACCATTCTAGAAAATTATTGCACCCAAAGAGGGGGTAGTGGGAATCTCCAATTTATAGCCAGTTGGTCAGAAGCACTGGTGACAACTTGGATTTGCCATTGGTGTCTGAAGTGAGGGGAGGGATGCAGTCTTGTGAGACTGATCTCTTAACCTATGAGATCTGCACCAACCCCAAGAAGACAGTGTCAGAATTAAATTGCATTGTAGGACACCAAGTTGGTATTTACAGAGAACTGGATAATAGCTTGGTTTGGAGAAAACCTCCACACATCTGCTATCAAAAGTATTGAGAATAGAGTGTTGAGAAGAGAAACAGAGGGATAAAAGTACACTAAAATATAACCTAAGCTTCCAACTTAAGAAATGAGAAAAAGAAAATCTAAGCTTGCAGAAGGAAGGATAAAAAACCCGAGAGGAAAAATCAATGAAATAGAAAACAGAAAAACAATAGATAAAATCAATGAAGCGTAAGACCTTGAAGATACAAATTACCACATTCAGGAAGAAAGAGGGGACACCATTACTGACCCTACAGAAATTAAAAGGATTATAAGGGAATATTATAAGCAACTTTGTCCCGACAAATTAGACAATTTCTATGAAAGGGGCAAATTCCTTGAAAGATGCAAATTCTTAGAAAGACACAGATACCCAAAGACAATAGAAAATCTGAATAGGCCTATACCAACTAAAGGAAATGAGTTAGTAATTTAAAATTTTGTCATAAAGAGAAGCCCAGGTCCATATGGCTCTGCTGATAAATCTCATCAAATATTTGAAGAAGAAATGATACCAATCTGCACACATTCTCAGAAAATACAGGAGGGAACAATTCCCCACTCATTCCTTGAGACCAATGTTACCCTCATACCAAAGGCAGACAAAGACCACACATGAAAAGAGTCTGCAAATATCTCTCATGAAGATGAATACAAAACTTTTTAGCAAAATATTACCAAACCAAATTAAACAATATGTATGCCATACCTAATGAATATTTATTTAATATCTGAAAGTCAACTAATGCAATACACCATCTTAATAGAATGAAAGACAAAAAACACATGATCATTTCAGTAGACATAGAAAACCATCTGAAAAAATCCAACAACCATTCTTCACAAAAACTCTCAACAAACTAGGAATAGAAGGAAACTTGTATATATGCCCTTTACCTAACAAAAATTACCCTTAATTACTGAACACTTTCCTTCCAAGGATTAGAAATAAGACAAGGAAGTCAAGTGTTACAACTTCAGTTCAATGTTGTCTTGGGAGATTCTAGCCAGTGCAATAAGGGGGGTAGAGTAACAGAGGGATAAAAGCATCCAGAAAAGAAATCCAAAGAGAAAAATTAAACATGTTTTTATCCATAAATAATATGATATTATATGTAGACATTTCTAAGGACTCAACCCTCCCCCCCAAAAAAATATATATAT